ACGTGTCAAGGGAGCGACCAAGTGGAGGTAATTGGATCATAAGGGTGGTTCCCCCCATACTGTTCTTGTGATAGTGAGTGAGTTATCTCGAGATCTGATGGTTTTATAAGCATCTGGCATCTCCCCTACTTGCACTTACTCTGTCCTGCCACCCCATGAAGAAGGTGCCTACTTCTCTTTTGCCTTCCACTGTGATTGTAAGCATCCTGAGGCCTCCCCAGCAATGCAGAACTGTGAGTCAATTAAACCTCTTTCCTTTATAAATTACCCAGTCTCTGGTATGTCTTTATTAGCAGTGTGAGAATGAACTAATACAATAAGATGAGAGAGTACCTATGAAGACATAAAGAGACTTCTACAGAGTACCCTATGTCTGAAGGAGAGTACTCAAGGAAAAGCAAACCTGGAAGGGGTGGGCTCTTCCCCAAGGCTGTGGTTCCAACATTATTGGAGTAGGCAAGCTTGTGGCCCACTAGATAGCAGTTAAGTTCACTGGGCTGTCCAGCCAGAGCCGGTCCACAGCCTCCAGACCAGGAGGAAAGAACCCAGTGGGTGCACGTACATTAAGTTTGGGAGGTGAGGCCTCATGTGTGCAATGGGTGGAGGGTCTGGTGTGCAATGCTCATGTTGGGTGGGCCCAGGGAAACAATATCCTGGGGTGCAGGCCAGCTGACGCTGGAAAGCAGTGCCCAGGAGGAGTTGAGACTCCACTGCGGATGTTAATCCACATCACAAGGACTGAGGTGAGGTTCACTGGACCCAGGCTGGGGCTCTGAGGTCACTGAGGGACTGTACATTCTGGGTATGTGACTAGGGCAGAGCACCACTGGGTGACTCACATGCGCACTGTTGACAGACCATGCAGCTGAAGCAAGAAAAAACAAAGGTCAGTACCCAGGAATCAGGAAGAAAAGCCCCCTTCCACCCGCGGTGTCCCTCCAGCGCCCTCTACCGACAAAGCTTCACATCGATCTCATTGTAAAGGAGAAATGCTTGAAGAAGAGTCCAGTCCATTATCACAGAGGAGTAACTGAAGGGTGGATGTGGGGCTGAGAGGCAATAAATTAATAGCTAGCATAATGATCAGTGGCTAGGTTCATTATTCATTAGGGTTGCAAAATGGTGATAATCTAATTCTATCCATCTTCCTACATTAGGTTGGAAGGCTTCTAGTGGGAGAAACTTCCCACATCCCTTCTTTGGTGGCCCCAAGGCAAAATGTGCACAAAAACCTGGCTCCCACCCCACTGCCAACACTTTCCCTCTTCTTACCTAGTGTAGATCCTTAGGGTCTTAGCACTTTTTAAATTCACCCTATCTTAGTTCAAGGTCTGATCTGAACTCTACTTCTGGCCTCTTGGCATCTCCTTTTCACTCTGGTCCAATGCCTAACTTCAGGTCGAAACTATTTTCTTACCACCTCCTGAATCTTGACTCTGCCCATAAATTCCCTGAAGAGAATGTATGGGAAGTGAAACTTCTCATTTACATCTCATGTAATCCTCACAAACACCTTATGAGATGGATGTTATTGTCTGGGTTTTACAGATGGGAAACCCAACTAAGGTTTAGAGAGGTGAAGCAAGGAATGAAGAGCTGGGGTTAGAGCCTGAGGCTGCTCACCTCTGAATTGTGGGAGTTGGAGGCCCAGAAGGACATGCTGCCTTCTGCAAATTCCTCTTTAGGTAACATCAAACTCACATGCCTCCTGGATTCTCACCAGTTCTCTGTTTTTTCCCTGAATTTCCAGGGGATTAGAAATGTTCTTCACATTGTCTCCTCCTAGTATCACCATTGAAAACTTCCCATCTCTCTTACAGGATCACTTCCCTCCAGTATCGAATCCAGATCTTTATTTTCAGGCCTGGCTTTCTTCTCAAACAGCTGCCTAATACTATTTAACTGCATTTACTTCCCCACAACTTAATTGCATTTTATTTTCTCCGGTCTCAGATTACTGGGACAGTCACCTAAATCCTCTCTAGTTCTGAAGATACTGTTTTTACCTCCTTCATCATCCACTCTCCTGCACTCTCCCTACACAGAGAAGGGAATGAGAATAGAGGTGAAAACTTCTCTTCCCAGAGGCAGTTATGGTATTGAGGGTGGGGTGGGGGATGGGGTGTAAAGAAGGAAATAAATAACTGCCAGACTTGGCACTGACATTGAAACTCTCTTCATTCTCCACTTCAGAAAACCATGAGCCAGCTATGAGGTCCCAATCATTCCAGCTATGTAGAGACGGCTAAAAATCATGGTGAAACCTCTGCTCTCCTTTCTTCCTTCTCCAGTTCATCCTTCCTCCTTCAACAACTCACCTGCTACTTTTCCTTTTCTCTCAAGTCATGCCCTCCACCCCACAGTTATGACTCCCACCTCCTGATCATCCTGAGCCCCTTCCCCTCCATTCCTTCCTTTTGGTCTGTGGCCCCTCTCTTCCTCTGTCCTTCCTCTTACCCAAGCTTCACTGGAAAAATCAAACAACATAACAAAAGAATGGGGAATAAGCAAACAGCTGCCTACCCTTGCTTGGAAGTCCCTGGGAAGCAGCTTCCTTCACCTCCATTGATTCTGAGTCTCTGTGCTTCGGAGTGTTTGGCCCTCGTTCAAGGCTACGGTGGCCATGGACTCATTGTGTTGAGATGAAGGTAAACCCAGGCGGTTTCTTTTTTTAGATGCAATTGTGTTTCTGGAAAAGGCTGCACATCACATAATAGGAAATCCTGAGAGGGTGAAGACTATTTCCTGCCAGTTGAAGCATTGTTGTCTTTGGCTCTTCTGACAATAGCAGAAACCTTCGAGTAAGGTAGAGGGGCAGGGAGGGAAGAGCTGCATTGGGGTAGATGAGGAGTCAACTGCGGAGTCGGGGAAAGTGGAGATTGCCAGGGACGGTGATATAAACTAAGTGAAAGCAAGTAAGTTGTAGAACCCTGCCAAAGGATGAAAACAGCCAAAAAAAAAAAAAAAAAAAAAAAAACTCTAATTACTTTGAAAAAATATCTGTCAAAATGCTCTCAGCTAGGGGAAGACACTGTCAGCTCAGTATGGGCTCTTTTTTGGTTGGTTTGTTTGTTTTGTTTTGTTTTAAATAAAAAATGGTCCATGAAATAAACAGGTATCTAATGGATCCTGCTCAGGGATGGTAATGATGACAGTCAGTGATGACGACAATGATGGGGATAGTGATAACTACGTTGGAGAAAGTCACAGCTTCATTCATTTAAAATAGAAATGCTCTCTGCTGTAAAATCTTTAGACCTAAGAAACTGGAGGCTTTTTGGGGATCTGTTAGCAGGGGCTTCTCATCCTTTAAGTGCATATGAATTTCCTGGGATCTTGTTAAAATGCAAGTTCTGATTCATACCCTGGGATGAGCCCGAGATTCTGCATTTCTGACGAACTCCCAAGTGATTTCTGCTGGTCATTCAATAGATACATACTCTTTCTACACTCGGGACTAGGGCTGCTTTTTCCTACTTCAGGTTCAATGACTTCATGTTGGGGACTTGAAATTGCCCAGTGCTATATGTGAAAATCAGGGCTTTTTTCTCCTCCTACTTTTTTTTCTTCTTTCTTTTTGGAGAGCTGGTTTCCCAGCATACCTTTGGGGTGGGGGAATGACCACTGTGTGGTCCATGGACACATGAGGCCCATTTTGAGACTGACGTGGGCCATTTATCACAAGGTTCTGTATGTTCCACTCTAACAGGGGGCCACAGTGGTGCTTGGGTCAACTGTCATTTATGTCCACTCAGATCCTATGTCTAATAGTCCTTGAAAGATCTAGGCGTTCTTTTTTCTCGGGTGTAGAATTACTCAGGTAAATGGCTAAGGGATTCTCTGGGGAGGATTAGGGGAAGAGCTACCACAGATATTTGGTGTGGTGTGTTGCAGCATCCTTCCTCAAAGGCACCTGGCCTCCCCTTCAATCAATGAGTCCTGGATCTTAGAGCTAACTCACATGCAGACACTGGGTGAGGGATTGTGATTTTTATTGTAGCAGCTGACGTCAGCATTCTGCCCACTTGCTCTTGATCTTTTCGGTGACATAAGTCAAGCTAGGCCCTCACTGGCTGCCTGTGATCTCACCCGCAGACACCCCATGGTCTATCAGCCACCCCGAGGGGTCCCTGCAGGTCAAGGCTCAGGGCTGTCTTTCTGCTGTGCGTCCCATTATGACAATTACTTCCACCTTGCCTCTGATGTTTCAGTGCCTCCACCTGGCCTTTCGTATTCCAGAGTGGTATCATTGACTATGAAGCCCATTCGAAGGCAGCATCTCCTGCAAAAGGGCCACTGCGGAGCTTCTCAGGGACACTGATGCCTCCCTGACTAGTGGATGCCTTATTACTTTAGCAAAGGGAGAATCCTCTTTGCTTTTACCAGGATATTACTCCTCAGTCAATAAGCTCTTCCTTGTCCAGCCTTGTTTTCTGTCCCTGACTCACACTGTCAAGATCCATTCCCATTCATGTTCTCCCAGTCCCTGCCAGTGTTTATTAGCCAGGTCCTGTGGCTTTCCTCCCTTGCAGGCATGCCGCTTCCCTGCCTGAACCTTACTGAGACTTGATCATAATTGATCTAGCAGCAAAGGGGAGAGGCAGGAGCAGATCTTCAGGACAGCAAACATTGTCTGGGAAGACAACTGAGTCAGGGGTGGTCTTTGTTTAATCATCTCCTCCAGCAATTAAGAGGGGCTAACTTCTGCCAGTCCAGTGGTTCCTGGGAATCAGGGGGTTCAGGTTCTCAGGAACATCACCCCATGCTCCCCATCTTGGGTATCAGGGCCCTATTCCTTTCTTATCAGGGACCTCGCTTCCCATAGGAGATATGCCAGGGTTGTGAATTCAACTTCCTTTACTGCTAGAACACTCTGAAAAAGAGGGCCTGGACCGGTTTTTTTTTTTTTTTTTTTTTTTTCCTTATCTGCCTTCCAGCTGCAGGAGATGAAGGTTTTTAAAATGCCTCCCTGGAAGCCTTCTGGCTTCCACACTATGTTCTAAGTTGATGGTTGGCTGATCTGAACCTGTCATTTTCTTCTTTCACAGTTCCAATTACAGCTAAAGACAACTAACCATCTCTACAGACTTTTGCTACCATATTGCTCAAGTGCCAGAGCTATTGCATAAGCTGATGTGTCTCCTTCCAGAGGACTCCATCTCAGTTCACTGCATATGAGGATCTTACAGAACTCAACTGCAAAATGAGTATGACGAGAATCTTATGGAATCTTTCAAAACTCCACTCAACACCAACTATGGGGTCTTGTGACCATTGGGCTGGTGAGTGATCCAATTCCACAATCCCATCCCGAGGGTCTGCTTCCCAGGACCACTTCTAGCACCAGCTGTCTGAGGGTGGGTTCTCTCCAATTAGAACACAATGCAAGGATTTGAATGTAAGTAGTTTATTTGCAAGGGGACCCAGGAAGCATTAGTAGAGACAGAGAAGGTAGGAAGCCAATAAAGAGTATGTTTTCAGGCAAGTGGGGGGTAGCGGGGCTTAGACCCACTGGGGAACTGGGCAGCCTTCCCCAGAGTTACTCACTGCCCTGAGGGATGAGGAAGTTGGTGTATTTATCCAGCTGCACCTCATCTGTCATTGCTTAAGGGCTGCTTATGGGGGCATTAATTTGCTGGCAGCCCAAAACAGCCCTCAGCAGAGAAAAATTATGTGTTCACATAAGGAACCTTTGGTATTCAGAGGTGAGTGCAAGGGGATACGGACCTGGCATTGTCAGCCATACAAGATACAAGGATAATCTTGTATCATCCTTTGACTGAGCTAAGGATCATCTGCCCTGAACCCCTCCAGTGGTAGTAGCTATGAAAAAAAAAAAAAATCCAGAGCACACCCAGCCCACATGGGGACAGCGCTTGGAAAATCTCTTAGGGAAAGAGAGGGTAGAGGCCGTGCCATCCTGGTGCTGGAGCTGTTGGGCAAGCGCAATGTTCAGGAAGCAGGGTTTCAGCTGGAGAGCTGGGAGACTCCCCTGCCCAGGAGGAGTGGCCTATGGAGGGCTTAATCCGCAGACTACCTCCTGTGGATTAATACTGTGCTCTCCAGGTAACAATGCCTTATTCCAGTTAAGAAGATTCCTCACTGTGTGACTCTTTGGGTGAGAACTTCAGTCACATGCTGTAAGAGAGTCATTCTGAGGTATGTTTTTTGCTAGGATCCCTCAAATTACCTTAAAAATACAGCATCAGTTTGCATTTGTATGTGATTTTCAGAGCACTTTCACATGTATCAGACCAGCTGACCCTCCTAACAGCCCAGTGAAGACAACGAGGGTGAGTACTTTTGTCTTCATTTTACAGATAAGAAAATTGGACTCAGGAAGGTTAAGTGTTCCGCTCAAAGGTCACCATACTGGGTGGCGGTGGAGGAGCTCAGTCTCAGATCTTCTGATACTCTGTCATTCAGTGCTGCTTCCCGGGCCAGCATTTCTCAAACGCTGTCTCTTCCATTAATTGTAAAGGAGCACCTTAGTAGCAGGAGCATATCTGGTTCATTCTGGCATAGCCAGTGCTGGCATATTCTGAATACTTCATATCTGTTTGTTAAGCAAATGAATTTTTAAATCCCCCCAGAGGACTTGGGAAGCTGTGAGGCAGCCGCTATTAACTCTTCTTTCTTGTCTCTCCTCCCAAGTACACTTGCACACAACACACACCAACACAGATGCACACACATACACTACACACACACAGTCTCTCTCTCACACACACACTGTCTCTCTCTTGTATACACACGCACTCTCCCCATCTCTCTCACACTCTCCCATTTCTCTCTCACACACAGTCTGCCCATCTCTCTCTCACACGCACTCTCACCATCTCTCTCTCTCACACACACTCTCCCCATCTCTCTCTCACACACACTCTCCCCATCTCTCTCTCACACACACACGCACACGCACTCTCCCCCTCTCTCTCTCTCACACACACTCTCCCCGTCTCTCTCTCACACACACACACTCCCCATCTCTCTCTCACACACATATACACACACACACTCTCCTATCTTCCCCCGTCTCTCTCACACACACTCTCCCCATCTCTCTCACACACACACGCACACACACTCTCCCATCTCTCTCACACACACACTCTCCTCTATCTCTCTACACACACACCCTTCCCCATCTCTCTCACACACACTCTCCTTATCTCTCTCACACACACTCTCCCCATCTCTCTCTCTCTCACACACACTCTCCCCGTCTTCTCTTCACACACACTCTCCCCATCTCTTCTACACACACACTTCTCCCCCGTTCTCTCTCACACATTCTCCTCCTTATTCTCTCTCTACACACACTCTCCCCCATCTCTCTCTCACACACACACTCTCCCCTGCCTCTCTCACCACACTCTCCCCTGCCTCTTCTCTCACACACACTCTCCCCATCTCTCTCTCACACACACTCTCTCTCTCTCTCTCACACACACACTCTCCCCATCTCTCTCTCACACACACACTCTCCCCGTCTCTCTCTGCCACACTCTCTCCCCTGTCTCTCTCTGCCAAACACACTCTCCCCCCGTCTCTCTCTCTGCCACACTCTCCCCATCTCTCTACACACACACTCTCCCGTCTCTCTCTCTCACACACACTCTCTCCCCCTGCTCTCTCTCTCTACATACACACTCTCCCGCTTCTCTCTCTACACACACTCTCCCCGTTTCTCTCTACACACACACTCTCCCCGTCTTTCAAGCACACACACTCTCCCCTGGCTCTCTCTCTCACACACTTCCTCCCCTGCCTCTCTCAAGCACACACTCTCCCCATCTCTCTCAAGCACACACTCTCCCCATCTCTCTCTCACACACACGCACACACACTTCCCCTTCTTCACTTGCAATACTTCTCATCTCTCTCTCTCGTACACACACACCTCTCTCCCATTTCTCTTACACACGCTCCCCATCTCTTTCTCTCACACACATACACACTCACACACACACATATTCTCCTAACACACACACACTCCCATCTCTCTCACACACATATACACACACACACTCTCCTACTTCTCCTCTCAGTACACACTTCTCATCTCTTGTACACACACTCTCCCCATCTCTCTCTACATTAATTCCCATTTCTCTCACACACAGTCTGCCCATCTCTCACAAACACACACGCACACACACTCTCCCCATTTCTCTCTCTCATACACATACACACACACACACTCTCCCATCTCTCTCATACACACACACACACTCTCCCATCTCTCTCACACACACTCTCCCCATCTCTCTCTCTCACACACACACATACACACACACTCTCCCCATCTGTCTCTCACACACACACACTCCCATCTCTCTCTCACACACATACACACACACACACGCACACACACTCTCCCCATTTCCCTCTCATACACACACACACACACACACATTCTCCGATCTCTCCTGCTGCCACTCTGCCCATCTCTCTCTCTGCCACACATACACACACACACTCTCCCCATCTGTCTCTCACACTCTCCCATCTCTCTGCCACACACATACACACACACACACGCACACACACTCTCCCCATTTCTCTCTCATACACACACACACACTCCCCATCTCTCTCTCACACACACACTCCCATCTCTCTCACACACACTCTGCCCATCTCTCTCACACACACACACACACACACTCTCCCATCTCACACACACACACTCTCCCATCTCTCTCACACACACATACACACACACACACACACGCACACACACTCTCCCCATTTCTCTCTCATACACACACACACACTCTCCCATCTGCCTCTCACACACTCTGCCCATCTCTCTCCTCTACACACACATACACACACATTCCCCATCTGTCTCACACACACACACACACACACACACACACTCTCCGATCTCTGCCACACACTCTTGCCCATCTCTCTCTCACACACACATACACACACACACTCTACCATCTCTCATACACATACACACACAAACACACTCTCCTCATCTGTCTCTCTCTAACACACATACACACTCTCCCCATCTCTCACACACACACTCCCCATCACACACACACACACACACACACACTCTACACTTTCCGTCTCTTCGGCCCGCTCTGACCTAAAGGCTACACTCTTGATGCTTCTTGGAAATCTCACACAGAGAAACACCTGAGAAATCTAGGGAACGACAATGGTCAGAGGAACCCTAACATGTATGAGGAGACCCGAAATGCTCCCTGCGGCCGGCTCCTGGGTTAGAGGGAGAATCTTTACTGACTCCTGGCAGCGTTAGGATTGTCCCTCTCGCTGTCCCCGGATTTGCTCTCCCCGGGCCAGGGCTCGCTGGAAGAGACTGTCCTTCAGCGGGTATGCAGTGACCGCAGAGAGCCACAAGAGGGAGCCAGTGCCGCGGGGAGCCGCCGGCCGCTGAGCCCCCTGAAGCTCTGCTGAACCCACAAAAGGAACCTGGGCTGAGAGCCCGAGTGCACAACCAGGAGGCCTCGGGGAGCAGGATAGACAGAGAGCATGAGAAAACCCAGAAATGTGGAGTAAAACAGAGGGGAGATCAAATTTTAATTAAATTTAATATTAAAAAGTAAATGGGTGGAGGACTTTCCTCTTTTACTTTACACTGCTCCGATTTTGGGGGGAACAAGCATATGTTGTTTTCATAATTAAGAGTGAATAAACATATATTTTAAACAAACTGGAAAAATCAAACAAGGAGCGAGCAAAGCAGTAGGAAAATCTTGACGTTTCCCTGGAGTTCTGGAAAGAGGCAGCGCATTCCCAGCCTTGCCTTTGCGATGGGGCCCTGCCCCCATTGTTCCTTCTTTACTCTTTCTCTTAAGAATTGTGCCGGCTTGCTGAGGGTTGAGCACACTACCTTTAGCTTGAAATGGAATAGAAGTGAATTAATAGCAGGGAGTGTCAATGTTTTGTGATGACTCTTGGCTGACACCATTAAGATACCATTTTTACTCCCTTATGAAGATAAACCCTTAAATGGCTGAGGCCATTAATGAACCATAAGCTTCATTGTTAGAATTTCATGAGAAACAACAGTAAAACTGATTTAGTTGTCCTCTTGGAAGCCTCTATTGAGAGAACTTGTTTCGTGTATCCGAGGGGGCACAGCTATAAAGCAATGAGAATGTTTTAATTAAGCATCTTAGGCCTCGTAAATCTAATTGACACTTTTTCTACAAACCACGGGGACCAACGGGATTATTACAAGCAAACCCAAAGCATTTGACTGAGGAAATTTGCCCCCAGAGTCCATTTAGGAAAAATAATGATTAAAAAAAAAATCAATTTATGTCATGCCTCTTTGGGACGCCAAATGTTGTTAGCTATATTAAAATGTGTTTATTCATTTGAATTTAGCTGTGGGTGATGCAAAGCTCTTCTGGAAATTAATCCACCCTCAGAGGATGAAGACTCCCCACCTCCATTGGAGGCTGTGGTGTCAGGAAAAGCAGTGGGGGACAAACTGCAAGTGGCCTCGGCATTAGGGGCTGGAGCTGTCTGTTTGGTGGGGGAAGAGGTTGAACCCCCCAGCTGCCTGTTGGATGCCCTCTTAGCTACCTTGGTCCCAAGCAGCTGATGTGGTTAGAGATGCCTGGGGCAGCCTGGGGAAGTGAAACTTTTGTACCTTCCCATTCCTTCCCAACATTTTGCACATCATAACTACATAGAAAAGGCGACATTTGTGTAAAAAGCTAGAACTGAAAGACATTTGGAGGTATCTGTAGGGGAGTTGGAGAAAAACTTCATTATATTTTCCTATATAAAGGTGACTGTTGAATTTGTATGAAACTTCCAAAGAAAATCTTCTAACACTTTTAATGAGAAGCTTGAGTTTGCTTCCATGGACATAATTTGTATGTCACCATCACTGGCTTTGTATCAGAAGGGGATATGAATTTTAAGACAAGTTTTATAACTGTAAAACTGTAACGATTTGTAACAATTCCTCAAGACCCTTAAATGATAAGTTCTTCAAAGTGTTGATAGTCACACCATCACTGACTTTGTATCAGAAGGGGATACCAATTTTAAGACCAGTTTTACAACCATTCAAAAAGTTACAACATTTGAAATTGTAACAAAAGAGAATTCAACTTTTCTTCTTGTTTCATTGAAAAAGGGAATGTTGACATTTCCTGTGACAAGGGAATGGATTTTGAATCCAATGGAATATTTTCAGGTTAAGCATTTCAAAATAAGGGACTCTCTAATTTGCAGAAGGAGCATGTACCATCAGAGTGCTTGCCTTGCAGCAAACAGCCAGAAGTATCCCAGGAACACAAGACAGAGATTAGGAAGCCTGGAGATTTTCTGTCCCCTCGTTCTCTGTTGGTCACACCTTGGGTCCCTGGAGCCAGACTCGTCTGGCAACTGCCTAGATCCCTGATCTAGACAGGCAGTGCTGTACTCTACAGCCATGAAGCTGCCCAGGTTGAGGGTTGGGGGACACCTCCTTCACTGCCCTTAACTCACCAGTGGGCAACAACCAACTCCGGCATATAATGCCCCAGGCTTTCCAGTCTGGAAATCAGGGTATTGGGGGTACACTAGTAACCTATTGGAACACCCCGTGTGTACTGCTGCATACAGTCCGTGGCTGGGAAACTCTCTTCTAGTTTGGGCCCAAGGGGTTTCTCCACTCACACACACTCAACTAGCTCCTCAGGGAGTGTAGCAGAAGGTTATCTCAAGCCACAGCTCCACAGGTATCATATGCCCTCTGCTGACTTTGTACCTTGGGCCACACTCTCTCGGAGCTCACTGGGGTTAGCCACAGCTACAGAAAGTAGATGTCTTAGGCCAGGCGCGGTGGCTCATGCCTGGAATCCCAGCACTTCGGGAGGCTGAGGCAGGGGGATCACCTGAGGTCGGGAGTTTGAGAGCAGCCTGGCCAACGTCGTGAAACCCTGTCTCTACTAAAAATACAAAAATCAGCTGGGTATAGTGGTGTGTGCCTGTAACCCCAGCTACTCGGGAGGCTGAGGCAGGAGAATCACTTGAACCCAGGAGGTGGAGACTGCAGTGAGCAGAGACCATGCCACTGCACTCCAGCCTGGGCAACAGAGCGAGACTCCATCTCAAAAAAAAGAAAGAAAGAAGGAAAGTTGATGTCTTAGTGTTCCTGTTTTACAGTTTCTGTTACTACTGAATTGTTACCAATGACCTGTTTGCTACTCAGACCAGAATATCTAAGAGTCGTTCCAGGTGTGGTTGGAACAATAGTGTTACTAGAATAAATGTACTCTCAGTCAAGGTAACCACTTTGAAAGGAATGACACTCATGTAGATTTTAAAGTTCTCATGTTGGAATAACCTGCATCTTTCCATCCTTACGTGTTCCTCTATATTTGCAGGTGGAGAATTCTGCAGAATTTCAGAAGCACTGGCTTAGTGCCATGGTGAGTCAGCATGAACTTAGTTTTGTGAGTGGGCTGCTTCTATGTTCAATTGACTATAGCTTCATACCTCTCATTTGTTTATAAAGCCCTACTATGTAAATATTACCACAGAATTTAGCATCTCAAAATTAACAGATGTTTACTATCTCATAGTTTCTATGGGTCAGGAATCAAGTGTGGCCCAGCTGGGTGTCTCCAGCTTAAGACCTCTCAAGAGATTGCAGTCAAGCTGTGGTCAGTGGGGTTGCTGTCTCACCTGAAGACTTGATTGAGGAAGGACTGTCTTCTAGGCTCACTCACGTGGCTGTTGACAAGATTTAGTTCCTTGTGGGCTGTTGGACTGGGGACCTCAGGCCCTGGCTGGCTTTGGCTGGAGCCTTCCGTTAGTCTCCTCCCACAGGAGTCTCCATAGGGCAGCTTATCACATGGCAGCTGGCTTCGCTCAGAGTGAGCAAGTAAGAGAGAAGGAAAAGTCCCCAAGGTGAAAGCCACTACATGTGTAACCTAATCTTTTGCGTGGTATCTCATTACTTCTCTCATAGTCTGTTTCTTACAAACAGGCCACTAAGTTCAGACCATATTCAAGGGGAGGAGATTTCCCAAGGGCATGAATGCCAGAAGGCGAAGGTCACTGCTGGCCATCACAGAAGCCACCTCCCCACCTCCCCAAACACCTGCACTTGTTCCCTTTCTCTGAGGCTGTATGTGGATCCTGAGCCGGTTTCCCCATCCCTCTAGAGAGGAGCATTGCTTGATTCTTGCTAGAATTGCCTTCATATTTGCTCAGTCGCTCCTCCATTAAACATGTCTACATTGAGACCTACTATGCTAGATTCCATGCTGGGCACTGGGAAGTCAACAGGAAACAGGCACCATCTGTATGCACAGAGGTTCTTTCCTTCTGGCCTCTTGCCTGGAACCCTGTGGCCACTGTAATCCTCCCAGAGGACAGCTAGTGCCTGGGTGACCCACAGGATTGCCAGGGCAGAAACACTGTGCCTCTGTCTGTGGCCTCCCTCCTGTGGCCTCTTGCTGGGCCTCCTCCCAACACTGCCTCCCTGATGGGCATGTGCTTCCCCACCAGTCTGACCACCACCCTCTCTTCAGCAGCCAAACCCTGTTTCTCCAACCTGAGAGTCTCCAGTTTAGGCCATCCCACTGTCTTCTGAGTGGCGGACCCGTTCCTCACAGGGTAATGACTTGTATAGTGAACCGAGACAGTACAGGAATCCTTCTCATTATTATTATTCTACACACCTGTCAAGGCAGCTACAAAATTAGTCACATTACCACAGCATCATCCCCATGGGGCTGCATAAATGGGAACATTGATATAAGGGTTATGCTTGTTTCCTTTAACTTAATCTTCACGTCGAAGCTCTCTTACTAAAAGGACATCTGATTTCATTATAGAAACCTAAGCTTTTTGTCATCAACACTGGTTCATTTCTTTAAAGGCTCCTGTTTTACTGCTATCAGAGAAAAGGCTGTTAGGTGACCGGGATGGTCGGGAGCCAGTCTGCTGTCCCCAGCTCCCTCACACTCCCTGGCTGTAGCCCATTTTCATTCTTTGTGATGGCAGAGACACCCCTTTCACCACAGGGTGCTGCAGGCGGGAGGATCTGGACCAAGATTTCATTTTCAGGCTCAGCGGGGTAGCCTGGTCTATAATGCCACATGGTAAATTGCACAACAGCTGTTTGGAAAAGACTGCTCAAAAGCCAGTCACTGTGTTGATGTTGGAGTCCCTCTGTGAGTGTTGGTGGGCTTTAAGGAAGTAAGAGGTCCCTGGAAAGGCTTGCTGAGGCCTGCCCCAACCCCTCCCACATCCCTGAGTGTTGGCAGAGATCACACACATAGCTAAACTTAGCTCAACACCACGCCACTGTCAGCCCTGCTTCCCCTCCACAAGGCAGGTGTTGCATGGATCTCGCTAAACTTGCCCTCTCTCTGTCACTGCTGTTCCGGTGTGTCCCTAACTGCTGAGAATTAGGGTCAGACCTCCTGGCTCCCCCTTTTTCTGTGGTACAAATAAGAGTTTGTGTTCTCCTCTTAGCCTCCCGTCTGTAGCCTGATGAATGGGCAATGAAGTAAGAATGCTTATTGCTGACCATAAGCCAGAGAGGAGGGGGAGTGTGAGAGATGGCCTGGGGCAAAGTGAGATTGTGACTCATTGAAACAGAGGTCTGCAGCTCTCTCCTTAGTATGGGGGCACCCAGTGATCTGCCTACAGCTGCCTGCCCCTTTCTGATATTCTCCCTCTCATCCTTTCCTGATTTTCTTCTCACCCAACCCTCCCTCCTTCCTCCTCCTATCTCCCACTCCCCACATCACTGTCATTTCTCCTATAAGCTGTCTCCTCCTTGCAGGCTTTGCCTCCTCACCCATGGAGCTTGTCTGAGAGGAAACATCCTCTCCTAGTGCAGGTCCTCTTTCCTTCCTTCTCGCACACCACATGTTCCTCCTTCCTTGAATTCCTGCCACAGTGCTGCAGCTGTGGTTGGCGATGAAGGTGAGTGGCCTCCATGCCTGTGGTGGGTAGGTTAACAGATCTTCTGCGGATAAGAGTAATGAGCATCCACAAGCAGAATGTGGGTTTTTCTTTAATGGAAGAGGGTACCTAGATTTAGGGCAGGGGTAGGTGAGTGTTAGATGCCTTTCCGTTCCCTCCTCATCTATCACCATCTGCATCCAGCCTCCTGGCTCCTACAAAAGGACTGTTTGTCTCTACCTGGATCTTTAAGACTTTCTGACAGTTGTGTGGTTGGGGATTAGAAATTACCAGTGAAGAAACCCCCAGGATATGGAACTCCTGCAATTCAACAACAAAAAGATAAACAACCCAATCAAAAAACGAGAAAAGGACTTAAATAGACATTTCTCCATAGAAGATACACAAATGGTGATTAAGCACATGAAAAAATGCTCAACATCATTAGTCATTAAGAAAATGTAGGCCAGGTGCAGTGGCTCATGCTTGTAATCCCAGCATTTTGGGAGGCCAAGGCGGGCAGATCACTTGAGGTCAGGAGTTCAAGACCAGCCTGGCCAAGGTGGTGAAACCCTGTCTCTACTAAAAATACAAAAAAATTAGCCGGGTGTGGTGGCACACGCCTGTAATCCCATCTATTTGGGAGGCTGAGGCAAAAGAATTGCCTGGACCTGGGAGGTGGAGGTTGTAGTGAGCCAAGATCCAGCCACTGAACTCCAGCCTGAGTGACAGAGGGAGACTCCATCTCAAAAAAAATAAAAATAAAAATAAAAATAAAAATAAAATAAAATAAAAAGAGGAAGAAAATGTAAATGGAAACTGCAATGTGATGGTGTTTCATATCCATTAAGATGACTGTTATCAATAAGTCAAAAAATAACATGTTGTCAAGGATGTGGAGAAATCAGAACTCTTATAATTGCTGGTGGGAATGTAAAGTGGTACAGCCACTGTGGGAAGCCAGGAGTTCGAGACCACCCTGGCCAACATGGTGAAATCCAATCTCTACTAAATATACAAAAAAAATTAGCCAGGCATGGTGGTGCATGCCTGTGATCCCGGCTACTTGGGAAGCTGAGGCATGAGAATGGCTTGAACCTGGGAAGCAGAGGTTGCAGTGAGTTGGGATCATGCCACTGTACTCCATCCAGCCTGGGCCACAGAGTGAGGCTCTGTCTGGAAAAAAAAAAAAAAAGAATTTGTATATAACCCAGCAATTCCACATCTAGGTATATACCCCAAAGAACTGAAAACAGAAACCCAAATGGGCAGGGCACAGTGGCTCATGCTTGTAATTCCAACACTCTGGAAGGCCGAGGCAGGAGCATTTCTTGAGCCCAGGAATTTGAGACCAGCCTGGGCAGCATAGCAAGACCTCATCTCTACAAAAAAAGTAAAAAACAAGAAATTATCACAGCGTGGTGTTGTGCACCTGAAGTCCTAGCTACTCAGAAGACTGAGGTGGGAGGATTGCTTAAGAGTCCAGGAGGTTGAGGCTACAGTGAGATATGATAGGGCCACTGCACTCCAGCCGCAGTGACAGAGTAACAAAGCAAGCAAGCAAGCAAGCAAGAAAGAAAGAAAGCATGCGAGAAAGAAGGAAAGAAAGAAAGAAAGAAAGAAAGAAAGAAAGAAAGAAAGAAAGAAAGAAAGAGAAAGAAAGAAAGAAAGAAAGAAGAAAGAAAGAAAGAAAGAAAGAAAGAAAGAAAGAAAGAAAGAAAGAAAGAAGAAAGAAGAAAGAAAGAAAGAAAGAAAGAAAGAAAGAAAGAAAGAAAGAAAGAGAAAGAAAGAAAGAAAGAAAGAAAGAAAGAAAGAAAAAGAAAGAAAGAAAGAAGAAAGAAAGAAAGAAAGAAAGAAAGAAAGAAAGAAAGAAAGAAAGAAAGGAAAGAAAGAAAGGCAGACTCAAACAGATACTTGTGTGCCAATGTTCATTGCAGCATTATTTGCAATAGTCAAAAAATGGAAGATAAGAACCTGTGTCCATCAACAGATAAATGGATAAACAAAATGTGATATACCACACAATGGAATATTATTCAGCTATAAAACAAATAAAGTTCTGATAGATGCTACAATATGAGTAAACTTTGAAGACATTGTACTAGGTGAAATAAGTCAGTCACAAAAGGACAAATATTATATGATTCCACTTATATGAAATACCTAGAACAGGCAAATTCATAGAGACAGAAAGTAGATTAGTGGTTACCAGGGGTTGAAGAAGGTGGGAATGGATAATTACTGCTTAATGGGTACAGCATTTCTGCTTGTGTTGATAAAACATTTTTTTGGAAATGGATAGTGGTAATGATTGCACAACACTGGGAATATAATTAACACCACTGAATAGACACTTAAAATGGTTAAAATGGCAACAATTCACAATATGTATATTTGACTATAATTTTTTAAATTGAAACAAAAAGAATAAAAAGAAAGCAAGCTCCAAAAGGAAGATATACAGGCACAGGCTCTGGAGGTGGAGGAGCCGCAGGTGGAGTTTAGTGGG